CCCCACTCCAGTGACACCAAATTGCCTCTTGTTGCCCCGCTCCCCTGGGCGTTGCTTAGCCTCTGTGATTACTGCCGCCCCCACCTCTGCTCCTCCCCCAGGCATTGCTCCATCGAGCCCATATCTCAGACCGTGCACTGAAAACCTCAGCCTCGTCCCCCCGCCGCAGTCCTGACTGTCCCCCTGCTGCTCCAGCCGCGGGCCTCGCCACAAGCGGCCTCTGCTGCCCCTGCTGGCGGTGGCAGCACCGGGAGCAGGCATGGCCTGGGTCAGGAGTCACAAACTCTGTAAAGGCCAAATAGGAAGCACTTTGATATTTAAAAATCGTTTTAAAAGGTAAAAACCATTCTTAGCTCACGGGATATACAAAAATAGGCAGGAGGACCAGTGTGGCCCTCAGATCCTCGGTTGCCCCACGCCCTTGCTGTCCCCAGTGTGGGGTGCGTGGGGGGTTGTTGGCAGTGCAGAGCCCAGACCCAAACCCAGGCCTGCAGAACCTGAATCCGCATGGGGACGAGACCCCACGGGACGCCCTGTGTGGCTTTGGTCCAGTTCCCTGCTCACTGCCATTTACTTCCTCTTCTACTCTTCAGCTGCTCCTTAAAGAGCACCAAAGCTTTGCTTTCTGTTAACATGTTTTAAATTCACCTAAGTGCTGCGAGGACACACTCATAGAAGGACGTCCCTCCGGAGGCCTCAGCAGAGGCGGGTTCTTTGGAACGAGGCTCTGCGCCAGGGCATGCATTGCCACTTGGGTTGGCACAGGTGCCATCCCAGTTTTACAACTATGAGGCTCAGGGACATCGTGCAGTCCAAAGTCGCAGAGTTTACAAATGACAAAGGTGGATTTTGTACCACGACTTGCTGGGCACAGAATCAGGAAGGGTACAAATAAAATTTAGGGCCGGGAGGGCCAGGAAAAAGGGCAAAATGGGACTAGCTGGTGGCTGGCTGGGCGTGCGGGCTACCCTCCTCTGCTGTTATTCATGTTTGAAAATGTTTAAAATAAAACGTTAGGGTAGAACAACCATGTACAAACCAATGACCAAGTCCCTGAACGCTCTGTAAGGTTTCTTAATGTTATAACTGCTTTCCTATTTGTCACGTGTATCTTGCTCTGTTTAAATCATCAAGAGACAAGGCCTGCGCCCCTGTGTCTGAGGTTCCCCAGCCGTGCGTGTCGGGCCCCTCAAGGAGACACGGGCGGGCAGGGTGCGAGCAGTGCCCCTGAGGCAGAGGCCAGCACCTCCACATCCCCCGCCCTGGGGGGCCTCGTTCCTTCTCTCCAGGACCCCTATCTCACTCTCTCCTTGCTCCAATCCACCCTCCAGAGCACGTGGGAGATCTTGCCCCTCTTTGCTTGAAACCTATAACCTCTATAGACATAATTGAAGCCTCCTTGACTGGCATTCAAGGCTGTTACAGGCTGAATTGTGTCCCCTAAAACAATATGCTGGGCCGGCCCGGTGGTGCACTGCTACAGTGCGCCGCTTGAGAGCGCGGCAGCGCTCCCGCTGAGGGTTTGGATCCCACATACAGACCGGTTCCCGCTCACTGGCTGAGCGAGGTGCGGGCGCAGCACCGAGGGTTGCGATCCTGTTGCCAGTCCCGGTCCGGTACGGGCACAACACTGAGGGTTGCGATCTGTTGCCGGACACGACAAAAGACAAAAAAGGAAAAAAAAAAAAACAAAAAAACAATATGCTGAAGACCTTACTCCTGGGACCTGTGAATGTGACCATATTTGAAGATAGAGCCTTTGCAGATCATGTTCAGATGAGGTCATTAAGTTAAGTCCTAAAAGCCCTAATCCAATATGACTGATGTCCTAATAAAACAGGAAAATTTGGACACAGAGACAAACATACACAGAGGGAAGACAATGTGGAGACAGCCATGTGACAACGGATGTGGTGACTGCAGCGATGTGTCTACAAGCCGAGGAATGCCAAGGAGTGCTGAGAACCAGCAGAAAATGCAAGGAAGGACTCGCCCCTAGAGCTGGCAGAGGAAGCGTGGTCCCACTGACACCGTGACATTGGGCATTCAGCCTCCAGAACTGTGAGACCACACACTTCTGTTTGGTGCCACCGTGGTCATGGTGCTTTGTTACAGCGGCCATAGGAAGTAATCCAGAGGCCCTTTGTGACTTAGTCCCTGCCAACCCGTCCAGTATCACCTTCTGCCACCGCCGTCCCATCCACTCGGTCCTGGCGAAGCTGAATTCCCAGGTGCCCTGCACCCACCCCACACCCGTGCCTTCCCCATGCCTTCTCCTCACCAACTGCACTCTGTCCACGCCCCTTGCTCACCCATGCCCCTTCACGACCCTTCTAAGGGTTTGTTTGCAGAGATTTGGTGACTGTCCTCACCAGGCTGGTCTCGTAGTGGTTACTGTGCACACCTGCACTAAAATTCCTTTGGGTGCACTGTAATCAGTTGTGTATGTGTCCGTCTCCCCCACTAGGGGGTGAACTCTTCAAGGACACAGGACACGTCTTACACATCTCAGTGTCCCTGGTACCCAGAAGAGGGTTTGCCCCACAGGAGGTGCTGGTTATAAATATGACATCAATAGCAACTGATACTATTTTAACAATAATGAGGGCCGACCCCGTGGCTCACTCGGGAGAGTGCGGTGCTGGGAGCACCGAGGCCGCAGGTTCGGATCCTATATAAGGATGGCCAGTGCGCTCACTGGCTGAGCACGGTGCGGGCGACACCAAGCCAAGGGTTACGATCCCCTTACCAGTCACAAAAAAACAAACAAAAAAAAAAAACAATAATGATAAGCATGACCTCACTGGAGATATGCAACCAAATATGTATTAAAACAAGGTCATTATTTTTTCACCACTTAGCCTGCATGTAATTTCTCCATTCATTCGCATTAAGGAAATATAATACACAAGATACTTTGACAGAGATAAGAATAAGTGAGCCAATCTCTGCTCATAGCAGGAGC